TACAGCCCGGTGGACGATGGCTGCGACGCGCGGGTGCCGCTGCACAGCGAGGAGGCCTTCCAGCACGGCATCGCCTTCCAGGCCAAGGTCAGCCCCGGCCGCCCCCCGCAACAGGTCTGCGGGGCCCGAGCAGCCCGGCCCCGGCCGCTGTCCCGGCGCGAAGGGCGGCCCTCGCCCCCTCGCCGCGGCCTGACGCCCACGGGAAGCGGAGACCGCCCCCAGGCCGCGGGGGTCTCCTGCCTTTTCGTTCTCCGGCTGAAGGAGCCGTGCGTTTCTCTGGTCTGGGGGAGACGGGCAATTCAATCTCTCTCCCACAGCCAGCTCCTGGGGGAGGAGGAGGAGAGTCCGAATGCTTAAAAACATCGCACGCCGCGCTAGGCGCTGGCGGGTTGCACCAGAAAAGAAAAGCAACTAAAATAAGGTTGTGCTTTTAATATGTGGAGACCGTGGAAGAACTACGGGACTGGCTCGCACGAGCGTAGCTCTCTAGCTGCTTTTTCTGTGCTGGACCGCTGCCTCTTTTGCTAGAGGGACCTTAGTAGAGAGATCGCCTTAATGACCCTTTTTATTTAGTTCTGCTACGGGCTCCTCTTCCACAGGGGTGTGCCATTCAGGCAGCAACCTTTAGGACGACAGAGCCATTTAGTTTGTGGCTTGCTTGTGAAGTGACAGTTGCTCACTGCCAGTGTTTCAAGCTGATTCTTCCAGGGTCAGGACTTGGGCTTAAGAGCAGTAGGCGTTTGTCCCTAAAGACGTCAGCCAAGCAAGGTGAACGTGGGTGGACGCTTCTACCTCCGCTGAGCCCATGGAAAGCTGCGGGGCTCTGCAGGGGACCCGGCCGTGGTCACAGGTGGGGCTGTAGGAAGGTGTTTGAGAGAAAGGTCCCCGCTCTCGCTGGCTCTTCTCCCTGCCATGGGTCTGTGCTATAGATGGCGCGGTCTCCTCACCATTGCTGATGGGTGGGAGGGTTCCCAGGTATCAACCTACCTCCCTACATCGAATCCCCTGCGACCCTGCAGGCTGTATCCTTCTGTAGCTGGGCCCAGGTGCCAAACCACGTGGATCCTGGCAAGTGCCTTCCCCATCCCAGGAGATCCAGTCCCATCCTTTCCTCCCTGCTTGCTCAGAAAGTCCTTCCTGAGCCATGAGAGCAGGTCACCGGGCTGTCCAGACCAGGGCTTTTGTAGAGGAGGTAGAGGCATTAAAAAGGATGCTCTAGTGAACCCAGATGATCTTTCAAACTGCTGTCCATGCTCATTTTGTTTTTAGACAGGTGAAAGTACTAAATATGCAGCCAAAAAAAACAGAGAACAGAGCGCTTACTGATGTGAGGAGCTGTCACACCTGGGTTTGCAGAGCAGACGCCCCACCAGGTCCCTTGCTCCTGCCAGCTGAGAGTTTCTCTCAGTGCTGCAAAACCTGCAGACTTGAACGTGCACAATGAGAGCACTGGAGCTGCCTATTAAGCAGCACTGGTTTCAGCCAGGAGGACAGGCCAGGTTTCTCCAGGGTTTCCCTGACTTGCTGACAAAAGAAGTCCAACAGCATACGCGGCCCCACACCCTACAGCAACTCCTTCTGACTCATGAGCCAGGTACTCTTATAAAGCAGAAACTAAGCATTTTTCAAGCCACCGCCTCCGACTCATGTGGAGGAGGAAGGCAGGCTGCCTGCCGTAGCCGTGAGCAGAGACGGGCTGCACGCAGCAGCAGCAAAACAATGACAGAACCTGTTGGGAAGGCTGGACGCTTGGGAAGGGCTTTGGGAACAGACATTTTTGCTTCGGCTATTCCCCTGCCAAGGCAAGTCGCAGGGTCTGGAGGACGGCTCCCTGCTCTCCCCAGCCTGCTTCCTCGCTGCAGGAGGAGGGCGTGTACATGGAGCATCCAGGCCCTTTGCCCCACGCAGCTTATTCCTCCATCCATGGGATCTCCCCATGCCATGAGCAGCTTGCTGCTGGTACCTGGCAGCTCTCGCTCCACTGGCTTGCTGCGCATGGCTCTCAGTGCCCGCTGCGGCGCAGCTGAATCCTCTTGGCACAGGCCAGCTCCTCCACATCACTGCTCCCATCATCTTGCTCAGCCAGCCTGGCACACGTGCACGAGCAGATTGTGATGGACATGAGGTGGCCGCTCTCTCGCCGTAGGGAGCGTAGGGCAAAAACTAGCCCTCGTGCCAGCCCAGGGCATCCAGCTCAATACTAGATGCCATGGAGGCAGCCAAGGTACGGCTGGACACAAGCACGAGCTTGCTGTCATCAGGTTTCCATCTGCCACGAGCGTCGGCACCCCTGCTTAAGAAGCTGCAATGAAATGCAGTCTGTTTTAGCATGCAGGCAGGCCCCAGATGCCCAGAGTATCCTGTGCAAGCTCAGCTGGGCACTTGGTGTTGCAGGTGGAGGCTGCTCTTGGTTCAAGAGGGAGCGGTGCAGGATACAGATTCTGGCTGCCCTCTGGGATCAGGAGGCGATCTCCACTCAGCTGGGCAAGCA